TGCATCTTGACTCACACACTTATTAAACCAGTGGACGGTAACTGAATCTTATTAACCTTCTGCTTTTCCTCCACTCTGAGCCAGTAGCGCCTGTACTAATATAGTATCTTCCTATTATTTAAACTGCTTTTTCTGGCTAATACTAGCACTCAAAATATCCATGGGACATGAAGTGTTATTCTTTCAGGACAGAAGATTTCTAGGGCAGGCATCGACCTATTACCATTTTGTCAAATACATATCTACAGGCTGCATTTGCTGAAGGGATATGAGGTGGGGAATGGAGGCATATTCAGTAGACAGAAAATAATTAAACCTTCTGGCGCCTGCTGATTCTTCCAGTATTCTCATGATCTCTGCCAGACTTCCTTGCTGTAGGATATATGGATTAAATAATTGAGGGAGTAAATATTTACTGGTGACGGCTAGTAAATGGAAAGATTAACTTTTCCATTTAATTTCTTGCAAAGAAGTTTTTTCACTGTTGTTATTTGTTGCACAGTATTAGTTTTGCATGTTAGACAAATGTTGCTGGTCCCTGTGTACATTTTTAAGGCCTACCTCTTTCCAGAGTGACAGCAAGAAAGCCTTGCACACTGATGAATTTGCATGTTGGTATTCTCCAGATAATAACTATGTCATTTGTAAAGCTATTACAGCCATCTGTGCATCTCAGTAGAGAATTATATGGACCTGAGAGAACTAATTATAATTCCTCAATTAATCATGGCATTTTCTGGATTATCTATATTAAAGAAGTATTCATGCAGGTTGTAGACTAATGTCAGCATCTAGCCAGTGATGAACAAATCATGACTGTCATGGCAGCAAATGACAAGTGTATCATTATATTTCCCAAATAGATCGCTTACATATTTGTGTCAGCCATTACATTGAAATTAGATAATCGTGTCATTTGCATGATGACTTCATGATTCTATGTTGTCAGTTTGATCTTATCATGACCCGCTATGGATGCTGCAACATAAAAGCCAGGATAGACTTCTTTTGAAGTGCAACTTTGGAGAATTAAGATGACTGCATCCCATGTGCTTATGATGATGCTGTCTGGACCTTAGCTGTCTCACAACATATTTTTGTATTGATCAATCAATTAAGTCAGGAGCCAGCAAGCTGCAATCTTTGAACACAACAGAATCTCGACCTAATTTCAAAGATCTATGACTGATCATGTCAGACCTCTGATCCAATTTTTCCATTGATTTCTTGGCATCTGTTGTTTGGAAACTAGGGAACAGTTTGTCAAAGAAAGATAGAAAAGGAATTTCAGACATTTTTGGCTCTGGTTCTACCCTCTACAGATAGTCCTCAACTTACAACCATTTTCTTAGTGACTGTTCAAAGTAACAGTGGCACTGAAAAAAATGAGTTATGACTGTTTTTCAGCTTCCCCATGGTCATGTGATCAAAATTTGGACTCTTAGCAACTGACTCATATTTATGACACCTACAGTGTCCCGGGATCATGTAATCACTTTTTGTGACCTTTGGACAATTAAAGGCAATGGGGAAACCAGATTCACTTCAAAACCATGCTAGTAATTTAACATCTGCAGGGATTCACTTAACTACTGTGGCAAGAGAGTTCTAAAATGGGACAAAACTCACTTAATAACTTAACACTTGACCCTTAACACTTAGGAACAGAAATTGTGGGCTTAGTTGTGGTCATAAGTCATAAGGACTATTTGCAAATTACTTTATCACAATCCATTATTGGTATATAGCCCTCAGTGATTGTCCGGAGGGGCATTCAGTTCCTGACAAGAAACAAAGGGTTATCTGATTTGAAGACATCAAACTATTTTATGCAATGTGGCCAATGGATCAGAAGCTTGTACAGCTCATAGAATTAATTTTAAAACAGCAGCTTAATGTTAATGTGATCTTGGCTTACTATCACAAGTTGCTGATTCTATTCATCCCCCCCCCTTTTGGGGGTGCACTGAAACTGGGACAGAAGAAGCGCTCGAGATAATTATACAGTGTTGTGAGAAATAAAAAGGAGAGAAGGTGAGAGGTGAAGTTCTGGGCCTTTATTTGATGAGTTAGTGTGCAATCATCCTGCAGTGCTAAGCAATTGCCAAAATGAGCTGTACAACCATTCACTTCACTCTTGTGAATTAAGAGTCTGTAACTAGGAAACATTGCACATGTTAAGAAATAAGGCTGCTTCTAAACATTTTAATTGTGTAATCCTCTGCCTCAAGTATAAAACAAAGGCCCAGATGATGTCTTCAGTGTGTAAATCCTAGGTTGCTTTTCCACAGATTTTCTTTTCATCAGTGGCCACTAATACTTCAAGAGATCTCATGTTCAGAATCTTATATTGACTGATAATGATTTTCAGCCTACTAACCATTTAGCATAGAGCTGTGGATTGTTGCTTCATTTCTCTGGATATTGCTGGCTTCTGGAATGTGTTATTATGTTATTGTTTCATGAAACAACAAAAGAGGGAATTTGGACTTTACAGGTATTGGATCATATTTTAATCGGCAATCTTAACCATTTTATTTTTTATCATTTTCTGAAACCACCTAAGGGTCATTATATTTTACATCCTCTCAGAATGTAAATATGATATTGAAGTGCTGGGTTCTCATTTTACCAACCTCAGAAGGATGGAAGGCTGAGTCAACCTTGAGCTGATGAGAGTTGAACTGCTGGCAGTTGGCAGAATTAGCTGCAATTCTGCAATTTTAACCGCTGCACTACCACAGCTCTAATTTTGTTTGTGAGAATCTAATTTTGTACCGATTGGGGGTATTTGGACAGTATATATTCTTTTTTGAAGCTCTGATATTCTTAATAACTTTGATTATGTCCATCAAAAAACCCTGCTACATTGTGTATCGTTGTGTCCCACGCTTTAAGGTTTAAGCTGCATTTATAACTTCTTCCCTCCCCTTCACACACACATACACCCTTTATTTTCACAATGACTTAGTGTGGCAGTCAGGACTGTCTCAGGATCATCCAGTTGCAGTGGCATGACCAAGCAATAATTTGAATATAGGCCATAGTATATATAATTATTGTATTCAGTCTATTATTCAGCATTATTCACACTTGTCTATCATGTATGCTGCTTATCAAATCTTCACTGCTGCTGATTCTGACATTCTTGGTCATCATATAAGCCTCCAAGTAAAATTAATTTTGTCACTAGTATTGGTGATGGTCTAAGTAATTATAGACTCTATTCCTAGTCATATGCATTCAGCCATTGTAGATACTGTTCCTATTTGTTAATTAAACTTTGTTCATTAAGATGGTTCTTATTGTAAACATGATTCCAAGTCTCCTGACCTGTCCTGTCCTGATTTTCAGATGTAATGTGCTACTGAGATTACAGGCAGTAAACCCAATGGAGTTGCTGAGATGACTTGCACACAAAAATGCAATTTATTAAAATCATTTCATATCAAAGGAGAATATCGAGATCAAGAGATGTTGGTTTCCTTCAGTGGCCCTCCTTCAGGAATAATATTTTAGAGCTATGGTTTAATACATGCCTGTCAAACTGGGGGCCCATGGACCAGATATGTCACACACATCCTGGCTTCACAAAGGCAAATAACGTCACACTTTGTCACAATCTGGCCCGCGACACAATCAAGTTTGACACTGGTGGTTCTCAAGTATGGTAGAACAATCTATGACTATAATTGCCCTCTTCTTCCATTCCTTCTCAGCTGGCAAGCCAAGTATTATCAAAATAGAGGTCTCTGAATATAATTAACATAGAGCTAGAAATATTAAGTATAAATAAATTAATTTAAAATCTGCAGTTTTGTCTGACTTGGATCTCTTTTATAAGTATCATACAAAAGGCAGCTTGCATTTTAATATGTAAGGCGTTGTAGGGCTGTAATATCCAAACTGGGAAAGAAGATAGATTTTGATTTTAGGATATACGTTTGCTGAATTTCAGAATACTGCTTTCAATTGTTATATTATCATGGGTGTCTAGATTTCTAATTATTATGTGTTGTCAACTTCCAAGATCTATGCCATGCAAACTGTTGCTTATCAGCATATTAAAAGGGGTTTAATAAAAGAAATTGGTAGCCTGGTATACCTCTTGCCTCAATACTCTACAGTGGAAAAAAAAATTGTAAATTTAATCTTTTATAATTATTTTCTTCTACAGGTTTTGCTAAAAATAACAACCTGCCAATTTTTTAATAACTTGATGCAGTTTTCAGATCTTGTTTTGTTTTTACGATGCAGCATATTATTTCTTTTGGGGAAAGTAATAACAGCTTGGTGCTGCATAATCAGAACCAATATATAATACAGAAATATGAATAGTTGTGTTTTTCATTGCCTATACATCTTTGTGAAGAATCACTTCAGGCAACTGGATTCTGAAATTATACAATAGGCAGGTGGTAGGTAAATGGGCTTGAGATTTCTGTAAATCAGCAATGGAATGAGGTGCCTGAGATTTGAATTCTTGCCTAAATTTTAGACCAGGGCTGTCAAACTTGTGGCCCAGAGGCCAGATACATCACACACTGGCCACGGCCACCCGCAGTTTAGTGAAGAGGGGAAGTTGCGACACATCACGTGATGACAAGGTGTCGTCGTGAGTTTGACACACCTGTTTTAGACCATGGAAACAGATATGACTCTCTAAATTCAACTGTTTACTGAAAGCTAAATCACAAAGGTTGATAAAGGAAAGAGAAAATTATCTTTGTATTGAGTTTTCGTTTCCTCCATAGTCAGTAAGAGTGTCAGTTCCAAAGAGAAACTTCCAAAGCAGGCAGGGTGGGGGGATATGCAATTGAAGTTAATCGATGCTTATTTTGTTTTTGAGAAGCCAATTTTCCACACTTTCTAAACCAAAAACAAACCTTGATGAAAAGCCTAGGAAGCGGTGTTAAATTGGCAGAGAAGACATATTGAAAAGCGTGGCATCTCATTCACAGAGATTAATTGTATCGCTCTCTTTTTCTTCTCATTTGCAGAAGCTGACAGCAATCAAAATTATGTGACAACAGAGCCTCAGCTGATCTTCTATCCCAGCGTTACCTATGCAATCATTGGCAGCTCTGCTATTTTTGTGTTGGTGGTGGCACTCCTGGCCCTAATTTTGCACCATCAGCGAAAACGCAACAACCTCATGACACTTCCCGTACATCGACTGCAGCATCCTGTCCTCCTGTCTCGTCTCGTCGTCCTTGATCATCCACATCAGTGCAATGTCACCTATAATGTTAACAATGGGGTCCAGTATATGTCTACCCAGGGCTATCATAGACCGCCAGATTTAGATTCACCACCATCTTATTCAGAAGCTGTGCTAGATCAAAGGTACATTTCAATAGTATAACTAGTGAAGTTTCTCCTGTGCTTTAAACCCTTTGTTCTGTTTGGGTTTTTTGTATACCCAATGCTTCTGTTTCATGATAGCTTCTTTTAACAACTGCACCCTTGCTTCATTAGCATTGATTTTACTGGGTTGATGCCTCATAAACTGCTTCAATATTTATGCCCAAATTTCCTGCCTGACTATTTACAGCCATTAAGGCAAGTCACAATTGCTGCAGTTTGAACTTCACCACCGAGCATAATGTCCTCCTCAGTACAGGAATCCACTTTAAGGTTCTGCTGACAGAAATCTTTCTATCCTCTGATTTCAAAAATGATTCTTTTAGAATTGAAGTATGTCATGGAAATAATGTGAAGTCATAATTCCTAATTTAGCTTATAAGAATGAATTGGAGTTTATTCAGTATAGAGGCCATTTTCAGTTAATGCCCCCTTTTGTGCCCTACTCAAGATGCTTTTTAGCCAACAGAATTTTTGCCATTTTTATCCCATGAAAAGATCACTTTGGCAGATATGTACAAGCTTTCCAGGATAGTGAGTAACAGAGCTCTAAAAAAACCATACTGAATGTCGGGCTAGTATTGTCATTGTTGGCTGGAGGAAGAACACACACACACACACACACACACACACACACACACACTTCCAAACTTTATCTTCCAATGTGACATATAGTGGGCATTTCTGCATTTCATTGGTATTGCTTGGGAGCTGCTTAATCACTATAAATAATTTAAAGCAAATTTAATTTTTAAAAAGCTTGTCTTTGAATAAATGGGCAAATTGTATTTCAGTATTAATAGCATCTCTTGATGTGCACGAAATTCTTACAAACTGATCATAATTTCCACTAAAGAGACAATCAGTTGTATTTCTTAGTAACAATATATTGGGGATAATATATTGAGAGGAAGATCTGGATCCATTGAGGAAAATTAAAAATACATTTATAGTGTTTCTGCCCCCCTCTCCCGAAAGAGGGGGGCTTAATGTGAAACCATGGCAACTAATAATTTATCACTAAGTGAGGCATATATGCATTATACAGAATTTAATTTAACTCCCCAAGCTTTTAAGATGTAGCACTTGAAAATCAATGAGAAGTCTCTATCAACAACAGATCCCAATTCAATATATTTGTCTGCAATCGATTATGGGAACTAAATTGTAGGGGTTTTTTTTTTAAACATATGAAGCCAGTCCATTAATTTCTTGGTTTTGCTACTAAGATTCTTATTGATTTCAGTGGTGATAATAGGGATGGGTGGCTGCGACTTGTGTAATGTTGATCGACGTCTAATATGTCTTCAGTTTTGTCCCACTATCTATTGCAAAAAACACAAATCACTTTATGTTTTCATGTGGGGAGAAGCCATTCTAAGTATATCTTGTGAGATACAAGATTTCTAAACAGAATTTCTCCACCCCTCCTTATTGTTTCCAATGCAAAGTACGGTCAACTTCCCACAAAATAACACATAGTTACGTATACACAATTGTAGTATATTTGTGAGATGCCAGAATATATCTTGAGAAGCCTGAGTCTTGGTGGATTCCTGAGTCTTAGTTTTGTCCACCATCACCTACCGGTATGTGCAATTTCCCTGAGCTGACAGTTGTAATTGGCCTTGGAGTAATATACCAGGGACTACATACCATAAAGTAAAATTCCTAAAATTTAACCAACTCATTATTTTTCTCTTCCAGTAACTTCAAAAATTGCAGTTCAATAATACTGGGGGCAAGCAGTACTGAGTACAGGCTGAATCGATATTTCTGGCTTCTGAACAAAAGTTACTTATCAAAAGTCAACCCATCAAGTCAGTTCTATTATGATTTGGCCATTCAAGTAGTGAACATTTGTATGCATCTGTATTGTGATATGGTAACTTGAACTGGGACATTGTCCCAGGATCAAGGAATAGAACACTCTCCCCTGATCAGTTGGAAGCTGCAAGTAATGTCACTCAAAGACAATGGTATTACAGGATAAACTGAAGGTTTGTCCCCTAGATTTTCAAAGATTTGAAGCATCTGAGGGATAAAATGGTAATTTTCATTCTTAAATTCATCAGAATGGCCTTCTGGATGACACAAATGGGATGGTGACAGTGGTGAAATATATATTTTTTTTGCCACCGGTTCTCTGGGCATGGCTTGGTGGGCATGGTTTGGTTGGGGGGTCATGTGACTGGGTGGACATTACCACCTTTTTTATTTTTAAAGCACTTTTTATTATATTCACCTGAACCAGTAGTACAAAATGCTTTAAGAAGTGGAAAAAAAGGTTCAGTTGTGCCGTGCGATCGTGAGAACTTTTCCTCTCCCTTTTTAAAGCATTTTTTTACTACCGATTCGGGTGAATAGGTAGTAAAAATATTCTTTAAAACGTGAAAAAAGGTTCTGATGATTGCGCGGCTCACAGCTGATCCGCACAATTGTTGGAAGCTTCCACCCCCCCTCGCTTTTTAAAGCATTTTTTTCCTGCCAGTTCAGGTGAATAGGCAGGAGGAAAATGCTTTTAAAAGTGGGGGGGGGGAGTTTCCAATGATTACGCGGCTCATAGCTGAGCTGTGTGATCTTTGGAACCTTTTTTTTTACTAATGGTTTGCGGAACCAATGAAAATCGTCCCTACTGGTCGCGCGAACTGGTAGCATTTCACCCCTGGGTGGCAGAGAACATAAGATGAGTGAGTGGTCTATTTGTGTCTTTATAACTTGTCATTTGTGTCTTTATAACTTGTTGAAGTAAAATTCAGATGCTATTCATTTCATACATCTGGTAACTTGACATCTAATTTATACTTTGCAGCAGACCCCCGTGGTTCGATCTTCCTCCACCTCCATATTCCTCAGAAATAGGATCCCGGAATCATTTAGATCTTCCTCCATATCGTTCTCGAACTGGAAGTGTGGTAAGCACAGATGCTTCAGAGACAAGAGGTCCAGAGACTTTGGACAGCAGTCCATCAAGAAACCTTTTTACTGGTATGGAGCATCACAGTACGCTGCGTGAAATTACATCTGAGCCAAGTGACTCTCTGATCAATTCAGTTCCTGTCTGAAAACTGTAAACAATTATTTATGCACATTTTTATGGCTGTCTGCTTGAACTTGTACCAACATTAAAAAGTCCCAAATCATTTGGCCTTTTTCTACTTGATGATCGCAAGTGTTTCTGTGAAAGGAACAAGAGCTATGTGCATTACCATTAAACAACTTCCTTCAATCATTTCAAGGGAGAATGAGCAAGAAAAGGTGCCAGTGGCCTCAGTCTTGCTAGATTTAACTACTGAATTATGAAGGTTGAAGCAATTGAGAACAATTCATTTTCACTTCCTCTCTGTTATAACATGCTGTTAAAGCACATCAGGACTTTACTAGAATTCATGTACTGAAATTAAACATATATACATGCCAGAGGTGGGTTGCTCCTGGTTCGGCCCGGATTAAGCAGCAGCGGGAGGCTCACCCACCCAGATGCTTATGTGCATGCGCAGAAGCGTTGCACACATGAGTGAACCAGTAGTAAAAATAATGGAAACTCACCACTGATACATACATATGTGTCTCAAAACATGTCTGTGTTTGAAATGATCTTTATTGCTTTTTAAAAATTTCTTATTTATGATTGTAAGAATGTATATAAAAATAATAGTAAATGAGACTTGCATTAATGCAAATATTGAACTGTATTGCTGATGGCATCTGGAAGTCCAGCTCTTTCAATAGAAAAATAAAATTCTGAAGGGTCGTCGGAAATATCATCTATACGGTTTAAATGATGTTATGTTTAAATCACAAGCTCTCCTATGGAGTAACTTCTTATTACTTCAGTAAGAAAAATTAATATAATTTTTGATGGATAGGGTAAAAAGGATTTTAAGCCATCTAAACAGTAATGGAATTTTAGCTGACAGCTACTGACTAAGAGACAGATCTTAGAGTCATGGTGGGTGGTTCAGTAAAGATACCAACTCAGTATGCAGCTGCTGTTACAAAAGAAAATTAAATGAAAAGGAATTCCATCTTTGGAATCATTAGAAAGGGAACTGAAATAGAATTTCTGGAATCCTAGTGTCCTTATCCATGTTGTGATTACAGTTGGAATATTGTTTGTGGTTCTTCTCAACCAAAATCTTAAAATGATGCAAAGCTATAAAAGGCAAAAAAAAGGGGGCAATTGAAATGATTTGGGGACTAGAATTGCTTCCCAGCAAGAAGAAACTATAGCTTGAAATGAAGGAGGATAAAGGAAATAGTGTTGAACTCTACAAAATCACATTCACAATATAGGTAAGTGATTGGAGAGAAGTATTCTCCCTTTCTCCATGTTAGAACTTGAGACACAAAATGTAGGGCAATTTAGGATCATCAGAATGAATTACTCTCTTATACAGCATGTATTTGATCTATGGAATTTGCTGCCAACAGTGAGTAACAGCAGCAATTTGGATGGCTTTAAAGAGGGCTGGGCAGGTTCATGGAAGATAAGGCCACCAAGGTCTACCCTTATTTATGGCCATTTGCTTTCTCCCTGAATCATAGCCAGTGTGCCTTATATACTTATATCCTTCCAGTCCAGATTTGAGATTCCCAAATCGTTCTGTTTCTGTGATCCCGAATATGAGACAACATAACCCTACAGCCTGATTGAACAAGGCTCTCATAGTCATCTGTCTATCACAATGTGCCTGATTCCAGCATTCTTCTTCATAGTGAAGAATCAAAAAACTACCTTGTATTCTTTTGTAATTAGTATGTGTATCTTATGGGTTGTGTGAACCAGATTTTAGCATTCTATCTTGCATAAGTGTAATATAACAATTTGGTGGCTTATTTGGATACCTATTTTGACAGGTATCTCTCTCTCTCTCTCTCTCTCTCTCTCTCTCTCACTCTCTCTCTCTCTCTCTCTCTCTCTCACACACACACACACACACACACACAGATGAAGGAGGAGCTTTAGATGGTTTAGGCATCAAAATGCAGTTTTCTGATTGTCTGCAAAATATATTTAGTCTGGGCATGCTTTGAGTTTCTCATTGTAAAAGAGAAGATTACAAATGTTCCATTTCCTCTCTCTCTGCATGTATGTACCTTTGAGAGAGATTCTGAGTGCCTTGGAATTCATATATCAGTTTGCAGACCTTATTAGACCTATTGGGGAAAATCTTTCATACTACGAGACTGAAACATTTTATAAAAAATAGTGTCAGATCATGGTAGTATTTCCTTATTGAGAAATCATAGGACTGATTCATTCTTTATGTAACATGCTTATTTCCTATGCTCCATTATTTACATTGTAAGTATGAGGTGGAGGCAGATACCGCAGTTCTTCCTATATATTTACACAGATGCACATCTCTTACATACCACATGCTTTATCTTTAACATTGGTACATTTTGGAATGTTGTGAATCAGCTTTTACAATTATTACTGTTTGAGTGTTATTTGTATAACTCTAAAATAGCGAAATAAGAATCCAATGGTTTTAAAAGTGTGACAGCAAGATGATTTCTGTTTCTTTCTTTATTTTTACCCAAACAAGTATAGGACTCGTAGTCATTATTGGGAAGATTGAATGGGCATTTTAACTCATCTGATCTAATCTGACACTGAAATAGCAACAAACATGACAGATATTTCTTTCTTTCTTTTTTTTTTTTGAGGGAGTTTTACTTGGACTGAGGTACATAGTGCTTTTTAAGTAAAAGGCAATAGCAGTTATATATTTAAAGTAATGTTTTGTGTGACCCTGAGGTACTGTTTTATTACATTATTACATTTGTGTTCATTCAAATCATTGTCCTTTCTACAATACAATACAATGCCTTTAAGCTGTATATTTCTATTGAAATACTTGGATTTGGACTCTTAAAATAAACCCCTTTTTCTAACTGTATCTTTTCATTTCCTGTTAGAAGTTTGAATTAATCAAGAGACTTTCTTAGAGTATGTGAACCTGAATATAAGCAGAGCACTGAAAGAATACTGTGTAATTATATAGCAGATCATCCCATTTGAAAAGAAAATAAATGTTGCTTATATTATAGTTGTCTTGGATGAAGGGTAGAGGTTTGACCTACTGTCGGTGAATGTATTATATGTGAAGTAAAATAGATTAAGAAATACCAAAGCAGACAAAATCTAGAATTAACCAATATGTGGCAACTGGGGAATAGGAGGGAATCAGGAGGCAGGGGAGGTAGGCAATACCATGGAGAATGTGATGGGCATAGGTAAAGGTAAATGTTCCCCTCACACATACCATATTTTTCAGAGTATAAGACACATCGGAGTATAAAATGCACCAAGATTTTGATGCACACCTCCCAAAAATGGCCCATTTTTTGTGAAAATTGGTCTGGGTTTTTTTTTCCCAGAAAAAGGGCATGAATAGTCTTTAGGAGGCTTGTAGAGTTCTCCTGGGGGTGAGACCCCCCAAAAAGAACAAAAAAGGCCCATTTTTGTCAAAAAAAAGGGGCATGCACAGCCATTAGGAGGCTTATAGAGTGCTCCTGGGGATGGGAGGGGGGCAAAATTGAGCAAAAAATGACTCATTTTTCACCCATTTCTGACTTCCCCTGCCTTCCCCTCTTTATGAGAGAAAAAAAGGTGCGTCTTATACTCTGAAAAATATGGTATATGCTAATCTTTCCTGACTCTAGGGGGCAGTATTCATCTCCATTTCAAAGCCAAAGAGCCACCAAAGGTGGTTCCTATTTTTCTACTTGCATTTTTACATGCTTTCAAACTGCTAGGTTGGCAGAAGATGGGACAAGTACGCAGCACTAAGAATTTGAACTGCCAAACTGCCGACCTTTCTGATCGACAAGCTCAGTGTCTTAGCCAATGAGCCACCATGTCTCTTGTGATGGGCATAGAACATAGAATAATAGCGTTGCAAGGGACCTGGGGAGGTCTTCTTGTCCTCTGTTGGAGCAGAAAATCCTATACCATTTCAGCCAAATGTTGTCCAGTCTCCTTTTGAAAGCCAGGAACTCAGTATGATGGGAGTCAAGGCACTAGGAGATGACAAGTGAAAGATCCTCATACATGGCTCTTGGTATCCATTCCTGGAAGAGGACTGTGGCAGCCCTAGGCTTCAGCTGTTGCTTATGGATGTCAGATCAGTTTGTAATAAATCCATTCTCATTCATGATTTTATTGTAAATGAGATTATCAATGTAGCATATATAACTGAAAAGTGGATAGGCTAGAATAGGATCCGGCTTCATAAATATTCTACTCAGGTTTTAGATTTTGTATCAGTTGTAACTCAGGGGGGTGGCCAATGGGCGAAGGGCAACCACTATTCTCTATTAATCATTGCAGTATCTCAGTGTTCCAAATGAGCAGAATGTGCACCCCCCTAATTCACAGAAATATAAGAAGGTACAGCACAATTAGACTAGCAAGATGATTATTATAGCCTCTTTTGAAATCAGATAGGATATTAACTATGCAAAAGAATTGACTTAAAGATGACCTATTGAGGAAAGCCAAAATGGGGAATCTTCCTTCCTTCCTTCCTTCCTTCCTTCCTTCCTTCCTTCCTTCCTTCCTTCCTTCCTTCCTTCCTTCCTTCCTTCCTTCCTTCCTTCAGCTGAGGCCTTGGGTGAGTCTAGAATTGATTTTGACCTGTAGACCACATTACTCCTGTGTGGCCCTGTCCAATAGACCTTGCTTTTCTAAGGAATTCCAGGAAGTGAAATGTCAAAAGGAATATATAAAGCACTATTGAAGAAAGATGAATAGCTATTTCATTCAGGTTTCTGATCAGGGTATGGACTATTGGGACAGCATTGGTCCTCCTTATTGATAACTTTTGATGGAGCTGAGATGAGGTAGTGCATTCTCTTAGTCGCTTTCCATACCATCTACCATAGTACTGTTTTCTGTGTTTGTGTATGTCTGTTTCTTTGTGTGTGTGTATTTGTATATCAGAAGTCCCCAACCTTTCCATCTTGGCAGCCCAGCAGATGGGCCAGGGGAGAGGGGATGGTTCTATGTGAGAGCCAACCATGCACATGAGCGCCTGCCATTCGCACCAATGGAGCTGCACTGATAGCCCACCATTTGTGAGGCCTAGTTCCGAATGGGTCATGGCTCAGGTTTGGTCCATGACCTGGGAGTTGTGGGGGGGGGGGGTCTGCTGTATATTGCCAACTGAAAACAGCAAACATACATAATACTTTTGCCTCCTATTTTTCCCACGAGAAGACTTCTGTGAGATTGGTTGAATACTGATGTTATTCCCATTGTCCCTCACTTTTGGATGCCTCAGGGCTCAACCCTTTCACCTCTGCTGGTTAATACCTAACTTAAACCACTTAGGTCATCCATTAATTTGGGGAGCAGTATCATCAATATGCAGGTGATACCTGATTGTATATCTCAAACCCAAGCCATTCAAAGGATGCTGTCAATGACCTGAGGCTGTTCAGATCTGGATGGAGAGCTG